CCTCTATTTTTTTTCTCGATTTCAAATTTAACGTCTCATTTTACGACAGTTTTTATAAGGTGCCCTAGTTCTGAGAAGCACCGTTTCTAAGCTATGTGCAAAAAGGGAGAAAATTAATTGATTTTTGTTTAGATCAAGTTAACCGGGTTGCTTCATTGTTATCAGCGTTATAAAATAAACTGCACCGAACACAGTAATATCACACTCAAAAATTGATAAATCAAAATCACTGTCAGTTTAATAACGCAATGTATATTTGAAAAATTCAAAGTGCATATGTGCGCACAGAACATACCCCCACCAGGGGGGATATTTTGTGTATGTGCGTCCCAAGCCTCAGCCCTCAGGCGCGAAGAGGCCGGAGTGGGAGTCGCCGTGACCGAGAAAAATCGATTCACCATCCCATGAAAAGTTATCACTTCAAAATTTTTTGCTAAATTAAGGCTCCACAAAAAGCTTAAAATACATTCAATTCATGTCGCTGGTTAATACTAAAATAATTCCATACTTTCCGAATTTAGCTCACTGTGTCCAAGATAAGAAGGTACGAAGTTAGTTAAATGGGAAAAAAGTAGGGCAATTAATAGAGTAGTAAAATTTTCGGTTCCGCCTTATTTGGGAAAAACCGAAATTTTCGAATCTCAATATTTTTTTCTGGCATTAAGTTAGAGTTTTTTGGTTAGCAAATTCTAAAAGCCTCTTTTATTTTAAATTTGAACGATATATAGAATATGGTCATTTAGTTACGTTTTGATCGGATTTTTAATAAATCTTTAAAAAATTAAACTAATTATTAATTAAAATAAACACGGACCTGTGTTATCTTCAGTTGCAAAACTGAATCCCTGATATACTTGCGCAAAAATAAATCCAGTGGAGTGATATCGGGTGACCAGGGCGTCTCAGAATAAGTGCTTCAATGTCTAGGTCTTCTTGAATTATGGGCAGGTGCTCCGTTCTTCTGCAGATTATCGAGGGATTTTTCAAAATAATTTTGAAGCAGATTTAAAAATTATATTATTATACTTGCTCCGAAATTTCCTGCCCAGATTTTAAACCTGAATCTGCGTTGGTGGCTACACTTTTTTGTATAAATGAGAATTTTGTTTGCACCAAAAATATACATGTTTTCTGTTGAATGGCATAAAACTTACACCAAACCATATTATTTGGTAAGGAAAATGTTCGTCTGCTTGGCATTTTCTAGTATTCGCAGAATGTGCGACGTCTGTTTGGATCGCTTGGTGTAAGCCTTTGGCAGTTTTTGTATTTAAAACACTTGCAAATTTTGTTTAATTTTTCGAGCTGAAAATCCAGGATTGTCAGTAATTGCCAATAATGCTTTGATTAATTTCTCCTCAGCGCTGCTTTTTTCGAGAGAACACTGGCTTTCTACAGTCGCTCCGCAGCATAGGACTTTCACTGACTCAAAATAAAACATGATAACATCAAACATTTCTGTATTTGAAAATCTTTCTTCCATTCTTTACAGAAACAAAAACACATTTTTGTCTTTTGAAAGAATTTTTGTAGTCTTTTAATGTTAAAGTCTGCTACATTTTTATATCTAAACGCAAAACTGTTCGCAATGGTGTTCACAATTTTCACAATAATAATTTAAAAAAATGACCGAAACATAATTAAAACTTAACATGCTGTGCATTGTTGAATTAAACATAAAATGAAATATGATATATGAAAAGAACGAAAAACGGCTTTAGAATTTGCGCCTAAACAGGCAGAACCGTATTTGAAAAAGCGAAGTTGATGGTTTCTTGGAGGAAAAACGTCGAAGCATACAATGATAATGTATTGCTCTCGCTGACCTAAAGTTTCTGTGAGAACGTGCAGTCGGTTTTGCTCCAGATTTGCTATTAACGCCCAAAAAATACCTAATAAGTGTAATCGAAATTCGGAAATTTTGAGTTTTTCCAAATAAATTATAAATCGAAATTTTAATCAAACTTTTAAAGTGCCACGTTGTTAGCCTTGTAATTGCCCGACTTTTTTCTCATTTAACCAACTTGGTATAAATTACGGTTTCTTATATATTCTCATACTGGTCATTCTTAACTGGGACACAGTGTATTATCAACTGAAAATAGTGGGAATTGGGCTAATCCTATTAAAATTGATAGCGAAACGAGAACAGTAATATGTGTTAATACGCCTTAAACGACGCAATAATAAAATATCCCTTTCATTATCCTTGAAACAAAAACTAATAATACGGTTTCCCCAAACCCTATTTCCTTATTCTCATTTCCAGTTATTTAGTCTTTTTTGTATGACAAAACCCAGTAATATTAAATTTCAAGAACACTGAGAAATTTATTAGGAAACTTCGTTATTTTCCCGTTTACTAGTTCAACAATTTAGGACAAAAGTTTGTTCCAGTTAGTTAAATATACTATCAATTTTTCAATTTCCCAGGTGAAACTTCCCTAGTAATTATGATTTTGTAGTCGTGGTAAGTAGAAGAAATAAAAAACGATATGTAAAGTACTGGGGAGACTTTTTGACCACTCCGAAAAGTGAATTTAGATAGAGTTCTATCTATTTTAACATAGTAAATATTTTGTGGCCATCGCTCCAAACTGGTAATTTTTTGAGCTTCGTATTTTTCTTAATAGATTCTGAACCAGTTTCACTACTCACAAAAAAAGTTGTTGCAAATTTTTTTAGATCAAAGAATTCAAATTTTCTATTACTAAGCTTGTATAATAGTTTCTACTACAAACTGATACTCAAAAATGAAAAAACCATTTAAGGCTGTATAAAATTCAGCTACACATTTTAGAATACAGTATTACAAAGTAATACATACTCATCAATTATCTCTACAAAAACTTTTAATTTTATTTATCCAAGACTGTATTTATTTTATTGAATTTAAAACATTGTCGTCTATTTTTGTCTCTTTTCAACCGCGGTGTTCCCACTCTCCGACCCGCGCTCAAAATAAACTCTTCCCTTTAATCAGTTAAATAGGAAGAGTGACAATAGAATCGATTGTCAAGTGATGTCAGTCAGTCAGTGATGAAATGGTGATGAAAGTAAACAAGGACTTGATGTGATCTGTTTGGTGGTTTTTGTTAATTTCATCCTAATTCTAGTGAAATTGTCATCGTGCACTGTATTTAATCAGAAATTAGATAACTTTCCGTTTGTCCAGCACATTGGGAAAATGTGCTGCGAGTTAATATACGCGCTGCTCAACTCTATCGATTTTTATATGAGTGCCAAGAACGTTAAAAATATGTGCAATAAAAGAACTATGTAGCGTCAGTGATACTATATCACAATTATCCTTATCTAAGTACCTGCAAAAACAAAAACAAACATACGTCGTAAAATCATCTGATGGCAGCATCTTTAAAAAGAAGTCGCTCCAGGCACCGCATAGCAGCGGTCACTTTCTTATCAAATATATCTTTGGATGGTAGTTATAAGGACACGAAATTAGCATTGCTTCCGAGGAATGGGGCCATTGCAAAGCCACCGTTCGCTTATAACGATTACATACTCGAAGAGTCAGATGGCAATGATGAATGCTTCAGTGAATCCGAAAATGTCCCTTTGAAAACTAAGGGGCATGTGAGGAAGAAAACGCACAAAATCGCTAATGATGCCGACTCAGCTAATTCTGATTCCGACACCGTCGCTCCACCCTTAAAATCCAATTTGGATGCCAACGCTTCTAAAAGATTTTACAGAGAAAGGTAATATTCACGCCAATAAACACATGACAATGCTGATTCCTCATCAACGTTGCTCATATATTTAAAATCCAACAGATTGTCATTTTTTTACGTACACTCTCTTAGTTTTAGATGTTATGTAATCATTGGTACATCCAAATACCTCGCAATAAACTCAAGAAGATTTAGAAAAAATCAGCGGAATCAGATTGATTTAGCTAGTCGGATTGACACTAACCAGTTTCACAGAAAAAAATTTCCAGGCTAACTAGCAGTAGTGATTCGGACCGCAAAGGAGTCGCCAAGTTCCACAAACGATTGCCGCACCAATTGTCTGGCTGTGGCGATCTGGAAAAGGCGCCTCAAGGCAGCAGCTCTGAAAGTTTGGAGCCAGTCAAGTTGAGAGGAAGCCCATCTCCGGCTCTCTTGCAGGAACAGCCGAAGAAGAAGTTCCGGATCTTCAAGCCTACCGAACATAGCAGATTTGGGGATGAGAGAATTATGATGGTGACTGGCAAACGCATTCCTTTCATGGTGTGCTCGTTCATACCATATGCAAAGTCGCGGTGAGCCTACAAACCTGATCTTTTCCGAACTTCTGGATGATGTTTATACAATTTCCAGAACAAGCGTTAAAAGGGAGGAGAGGCGGAAACGAACCACTTCAGGAACCAGACCTTTGTCTTCAATTGACGATGCTCTCGACCCGTTTGATTCCTTAGGCATGGAGCGGAAATTAGAAGGCCAGGTATTACGCAAAAGTTAGCACATTCATCGGATTTGAATATCGCATAATCTAGGAAGTCTCATATGGATATTTGCTAACTCCGAGCCACAGAGAGATTCAATCGAAGCGACCCAACACTGTAGATGATCATCCTGAGGTGACATCTAGACGACCCAAACACATTGTGGCCAGGTACAAACAAGTAAAATGATAAAACCATATTGAATGGCTCAAAAAATACGGTTTGAAAATTTAATGCAAGTAAAATATATTTGTTTGCAGGACAAAAGTTATAACTTGGCAGCCAGAACACAAATGGTAAATAAAACATTTGGTTTTTGGGCCTTGCGTTTGAGAATAGTTAGAACTGGTAGAATCAGTAACAACCTAATTATTCCACTAGAGAACCTTAGAACTGAATTGGTATTTAGACTCCGAGACGTTCCGTAGCTAACTAATGAAAAGGGTGCTGGTTATGGCCGAGTGGTTGAAAGTAGGATAGACACTAACACCCCATTCCTATGTACTGCCAGGGCTGATTAATGTAACTAATGGAAGAAACAACACAAAAGTGAAAAATGCGCCCGGGACGCTCTGGTGTAAATGAATATTCTGAATAGCGCATGTTTATTTTAAATTCAAATATGCCACAGCATTAAGGCCTGGCGGTTTGCGAAAAAACATTTTTAAGTAAAGTTTGCACAGAGATTGTTTTGAAATCACGTTAAAAATAGTCGCTTTGGTTGAATGGCTCAGAAGATTTGGGAAATTATTAGTGTTTCTCGATCTTAGTATCATATGAACCGAAGCCTTCAGCTTCAGTTGAAAAAGTGGAACATGTTGGGAATTGATCTGTTCTGGAAAATACCTTTTCCGAAAGCTTGGCGATCGACTCAGAAGTTTTCTTCTAATTACAATTACAATTCAATGATTCTCAACAAGAAAACCATTCCAGTTTCATGATTTTGTCGTTAAACTCTTCAAAAAAATTCACGAACCGCTGGTTCTGCTGATGTTCAGTTGAAGTTTCCAACACCCGGTAAAACTTCATAAAAATCTATTGATCTGCTCCTAAAGATAATACTAAACTTCCCGAATTAATGTTACTCTGTTCTGTCCCTATATCGGGGAAAAGGATCTTTGATTTCCGCTATCTGACCGGCAAAGAAGGTAAAACTCGCATTTAATTCTAGGTGCCTTTCCTTCGATCCAGGATCGCAAAGAGCCTCCGCTCACGTGATTTCACATTCGCCTCCTGATCTGAAGGAGGAAGCAACTGCGATTGGTAGTCTTGTCTATCACCCGCATCTTTTAGACGATCCCGAGCTGATCGCCGGGAAGCACCGCACTCTACTCACGTTTGCCTCCTACATGACATCGGTAATCGACTACGTTAAACCATCCGATTTGAAAAAGGAGATTAACGACAAGTTCAAAAGCAAGTTTCCACATGTTCAGCTCACCCTGAGTAAACTCCGAAGGTACCCCGTTTAATTATAGTATAAAGCCAGGAATAAAGGATGCGTGTTTTTTTGCAGTATCAAGCGAGAAATGAAGAAAATCGTGAAGCATGAATGTGCCATCGATTTGCTCACAGTGGCTCAAGCTTATGTGTACTTTGAAAAGTTGATACTGCGTGGACTAATCAACAAGCAAAATCGCAAGCTCTGCGCGGGTGCCAGCCTGATATTATCCGCTAAGCTAAACGATGTCAAAGGAGACCAGCTTAAGCTGTTGATCGAGAAAACAGAAAACACTTTTAGAGTGAGTAGAAAGGAGCTGCTGGCCTTTGAAATAGCGGTTTTGGTCGCCTTGGAGTTCGGACTTCACGTACCAACTAGTGAAGTGAATCCTCACTATCAGCGTCTCATGTTCGACTCATGACCAATCACTGATAACTCCACTATAACATGCATTAATCTTTCGTTACCTTTTACTAAGAAAATTTTATTTTGAGGCGTTTGAAAACGCACGATTTGGTGAATACGCAACCATCTTAATTAACATAATTAAATTAGAATACTGTTAGCGGGTTCTATAGGGAAGTATTTAGTTAAATTTTATTGACTTTAAATTAAGCAAATTGTACTCATCGGACAGAAAGGAACTTTTACTTAACTAATCACTGTAAAAATGCATTCATTAACCATATCTTTCGCCATTGTCTAGCCGACCGAATTTTATCGTTATCCTAAAACTAAAAGCAATCTGAGCGACCAGCAATTTCTGGTTGTTCACTATCGATACTATCTAGTTTAATATTAGGTAAAAAGTTGACCAAGACAGTGTAAAAATGGTGCTTATACAAGATAAGGTTAAAGTAAGACGAACTATTTTTTGCATGACAAGCGTGAAAGGTGTACTTAAATTGAAAATTTGTATTGAGTGTGCCAATGTTGCATAAGTAGACAGATCAGTAGGGTGTGGGTGGGTTGTGATAATGTTTTGCATAAATTCGGAAAGTTTCGAATTAGCCGCTTTTTAGAACTTTAGATCATCGAATGTTCCCTCGCGCCCTTTCTACTTTCATGCCCCCAACTTTCTGTGGGCGAGTGATTGAAACCCATACGTTCCCCGCTTTTTATTCCGTTCTCCTAATTCCTATGAATCCCATCAAACCTCTACAGCTAATTCCGAAAACGATGTCTTTATATATCATCAATTCTCTCCGAATCCTGGATGATGTTTACGATTGTTATTTTTTATTTTGTTTTCCTTTGTTATTACTATTGTAGATATTTAAGTGTTATCCATTTGGTAATTAACAATAGTTGCTTATTTTGGTGTATGTAATCTCGAATAACTTGTACAAGGGTGCTGGGTTTTTTCTGGAGTAAAACTTTTTTGTAGGCGTCAATACAGGATTCTTTGCATTTATTTATGTATTTTTTCTTTGGTCACTTCCTTTAATTACATCCACTTTTGATTGAATTAATTGAGATTCTCTGCGTTTTGAAACTCCCGACTTTTTTATTTAATCTTGCAAATTAAACTGCGAAGTAAAAAAATTGTTTGACGACCTATGAATGAGCGTGCGGTGCGGTACGGACTTTTAACTCTAATCGATTTTGGAAACTTAAAGATGTACGCGCGTACATTGGAAAATACTGAGGTTTTATTTGATTTATAAGATTTCGCGCTAAACGATTTGTTTCATTTAATGCAGAAATTTCCAATTTTGTCTTTCATTCAGAAGTATTTTTAATTCATGACCCAACTTTGAGTTCCTAGAAAATCAACAATTTTTTTTGTTCTGCAGTGTTTTGAGCTTGACGCTTATTTAGTTCGGGACGGATTTTTTAAATGTTGTGTGAAATTTTTAGTTTCGGTTTTAATACAAATATCAGGCGAGCAACAGTCAATATTTTTCAAGTTTCTTCACTAAAAGCCCCTCTTTTGCATCCAAAGTAGATTTTCTGTGGCGATTTCAGTTTTTTGTTTTTTTTCTTTTGTAGAAATATTACATATCCATGATTAAAGTTCCTGGAAATGATTCCAAGGCGTTTTTTCCTAAATAAGCTTTATCATAAATTCTAAATCTTCAAAAAGTAGGAACAAAAAATTGCTCAGATTGCGTGAATATTATGAAATATTTTATTTTGCTTAAATTTCTCGATCCGCCTTTTCGTAGTCAACATCACAAAATATCCCCCCTGTGATATGTTCTGTGGTCAACATAGATGAAGACAAGTGGACAGATGGTAGTAAACTATGATCCATGCAGGGGCGGATCCAGCTTTAAATTCAGTGGGGGGTTATGTAGAAAAAATAGTCTTCGGTTGTCTATGAAATTAGAAAAATTATCATCGTTTTGTGCAAGGGTGGCGTAAGATTATTGCAAAATTTCATGTTTTCCGTCTCGTTTTGCATGTTTCTCGGAAGCAAAATGAGCAAGAACGCTCGTTTTTACATGATTCCAAAGAGAACTAAATGGCCTTTTTAGCAAGTCATCGATAAGGAAATGTTGCAGTTTTCTCAAAAAATGCTTGAATTCAAGAAGTTTTAGATTTGCGTGGTTTTTTTCTGAGTTGCAAAATCCACTTGAACATGACGCTGCTTTTTTCGAAGTTTCTCAAGAACCATTCGAGCCACAGAATTCGTTTTGGCATCGT